CTCACTTCGGACGCATCACGGGAAGGCCAGACTCCCTGGAGAAGGCAGTTATCCAGGGAAAAACGGAGGCAGGAACAAAAGGGAAGACCAAATGCGAGATGGGTTGAACCTGTAAAGGAAGTCACAGCCCTGAATTTGGGCGAGCTGGACGGAGCTGTCATGGACAGGAGATTTTGGGGGGCGTTCTTTCAAGGGGTCGCCTGTAGTTGGCGGTGACGCACCAGCCCGACAGCAGCAGGCAGAGATGCAACAGGCCTCCTCACTCTCCCCCACCACCCAAGCTGAACATGGCAATGGCACGTGCAAAGGATTCATGCCAGCCCCCTTCCTCCACGAACCAGCCGGAAAGCTGATCTTTATTTAAAAGGGGAAAAACAACCAGCCAAGGGCAGAAGATATTCCTACCTTAGCCCCGAAAACCAGTTTTTCTAGGTTGGCTCCAGGTATTGGGGGAAACGCTGAAGGTCGGTCTCCCCCGCCCTCGTGCCTTCCCAGCATTTCCAGCCAGCACGGTCCTTGGGAACTACAGACACTCCGGCCCAAAACAACTGGAGGACACTGGCGTGAGGAAGGCTGCGGTAGAGATCATCAACTCTGCCCTGCAACAGGGCTGAGAACTCTTCAGGCCAGTCCCAGGTCTTCAAACCCTGGAACGGCGCTTGACCACCAAGGAGAAAGCAGGCGAGGTCATTCCATCACTGCTCCGTCAGCTTCATAAAACCACCATTATCTACCACTCAGCTGACTTGCCTCTTGCTTAAATTAGGTGACAGGTAAGAACAGCAAGTGGCCGTCACGGAAAGGTTTCAAGCATAACAGTCAACGGAAAACTTTTTCAATTAGGCCAGTTTTAAAACGGCAAGCAAGAAAATGCCTCCACGATGTTTCACTCAAGCATTCCCAAGTTTCTGTTATATTTTTCCTGTCTGAGAAATGATATGAAACAGTCCTTCTGTCCAGGCAGTCGCCTCTATGAGTATCCTTCCCGCACAAAATCACAGACATCAAAGTGCTGGCAGCTTGTTCCATCACACCGGCAGACACCAAGAGGCTGTACAAGTCCATTACCAAAGGTCACGGTTAAGACAAACGCAAGTTCTCCCTTTCCCACGACTCTTAACTCACCTATGAGGCTGGCCGGGGGGATGTTTAGGAGAGGCGAGAGCAAGCGCGTCACGCACCATCTAAATGATCTGTGGAACTGGCTGCCTGGGAAGTGCGGGTGGCCACGATCCGGGTGGCTTTCAAAGAGGACTGGGCAGACTCATGAGAGGCCAAGCTGTCTGTCTGCGGCCACCAGCTCTGCCGGCTGTGCGCACCCTCCCTTAGCAGGGGCGGTCTGCCCGCAGGCGCCAGGTGCTGAGGAGCTTGGCCGGCAGAGGTCCTCCACCCACCCGTCCTGCTGGAGGGATCCTGCGGGCAGCAGGCTTGCCACCATGTCCATAGCGCTGGCCGGGATGGACCTTGGCCTGCTCCAGCCGGGCTGCTCGGTGTTTCTCAAGGGGTCTCGCGCAGGAGCCGAGGAAAGGAAGCGACGCAGCCGCACTCAGTGCTCCGCTCCCATGGACACTTCCCAAGCTCCACAGTTCTCAGGACCTTCTGTGGGAATCGCAGCACTCAGAAGCAGCGGGAAGCCCTTTGCTCCTGAATTAAGTCCAACTCTTTGAAGTCAACGTTCACAGGAAGGACATGGCATTCTTAAATCCTCCTCAAGAAAGCAACTCATGCAACTTAAATCCTCATCAAGAAAGAACCAGTTCTCTGGCTGGAGCCAGCATACCTCCAGATACACGCACACCAGTTTCATCTAACATTTTCACTGCCCTCTAGAGCGAGATTATAAGCAATTCAATCCAAAGGTACTATTTCCATCTATCCATATGCAAGAATGCCAATCTCAGATCCACTGGCTGGAAAGGATAAGAATGGAGGAGATGAGTCATTTCACCCCGCATGACTCAGGAGAGCTCGGCCCATTATCACACAATACCATCTTGAGTGCCATTTTTCTTGGCAGAACTCAAACGAACATTTATTTTTCTTCATTTATTGGATTTATAGCCCACTTTTTTTCTTACAGCAAACTCAAAGCGGCTTACATCATTCTCCTCCTCCATCTTATCCCCACAACAACAATCCTGTGAGGTGGGTTGGGCGGAGAGGCTGTGACTGGCCCAAGTCACCCAGTGGGCTCCATGGCTGAGTGGGGACTAGAACCCAGAACTCCTGAGTCCCAGTCCCATGCTCTTAACCACTATACCATGCTGGCTCTCAAATACCTTAGTCCAAATGAAGGCAGCCTGTGACTTTTCAAAATCATTTGGCCAACCACGTTCCTTAGCTGCAGCTGGTTCAGGCAATGATAAGGGATTATGGAAGCTGTAGGCCCAAACATCTGGAAGGGTACTGCCCCCTCTTGCCTTAGCCTGAACGTCTACGTCCAAACATGAGACATGTCAGAGGACCAGGCATGTCCAACTGCACATTGTTAGACAGCTGGATCCAAAGGCCAATGAAGCAGAAGTACTTCGGTTTAAATGGGGTTCTGCAACTAGCCACTGGACCAATTCAGACCTTGGGGCATCACAAATCAGACAGAGGATTGCTAGAGCCGCCCATACAAAGACACATCTTTCCTTTCCTCTCCTCTCCTCCTAAGCAGATTCTTTTCTGATGGGGAAAAATGGACTGAAGGCATGGCGGGGAAACACACAGGGGCGACCAACTGAAGAGACCATCACCTACCGCTCCCCCCATAAAAGTGCATGAATGAAAGAGGCCAGTTACAGAATAAAAGTTTTGAGAAGAACACGGTATTGGTCCATCGACTCCAGGATCAATAATCGGATGGCAGCATCCTTCCAGGATCTCCACTGGAAGACTCTCATCACCTGCTGCACGAACCTGGAACCCACCCCAAAGCACACACTCCACCACCAACCAGTTGCTCTTCCCAGCATCACCCAGCATGTCCCAAACACGGGCGATGCTGCCCCCTTCCCTCGCTACACAACCAGTGGCATACATGACCGTCATTTCCTATGTCCACCCCAGAGGCCACTGCTGACTCAATCAGCCCATGAGCCAACCTGCAAACTCGGCACGCTGCACGGATAACGCACGTATCGATGCGTGCTCCCTGTTACCACAAAAAGCTACAGCACTGGGGTGCAACTGCTTCTGATTTTACAGTTGGGCGGCTCTGGTGCTGCCTCTCCTGAGGCAAAACCCAACATTAATAAAAGGAATTAAAATTAAACAATGGCCAATGCTGTTCACATCACCAACCCATGTTCCCTGCTGAGAATGACAGATTACGAATGCCATAACGCACATAAATTCTACCGCATGCAAGAGCACTGGTTTTAACCTCAAGGAGATGCAGCACGGAGGCACATCTCTCACGGTAAGAATGCTCAGCCATCTCAACATTTACATGCACAGTAACCAGCAACAGAGCACATTAAAGGTCTGTAAACAATCGCTTTTAAATCCATTTTAAAGAATGGTTGTGACGCTCACTGAATCATTAGCCCTCCCTACCATGATATAAAGAAGCTAACCAAGATTCCCAGTTTGCACTGGAGTGTATTTTGCCTCTAGAGACTCTCTGAAGGGAGAAACACCAAAATGTCCTCCCTCCTTCATGGGTTGATGCCTTCCAGTCTACCACGCAGGTCCCTTTCTTAATTTAATATCTGCTTCCACTTGGTTTTGTGCTTAGAAGTACCCTGTCCTACACAGAATGCTTTCCCTGCATGAGAATTTCAGAGAGAGCTCATTATGTTCCAGGCTACGGATCGCTCTCTCATCGCACACGGTTCTCTCCCCTCACTATCACGAAGGCTCTCTATGGCATCACCAAGCAATGGGGGCTGAGGGAGAAACTGGGAACAAGGCATGGGGAACCAGATCTGAGGTCACTGGCCAGAACACATGCAGGCTACTGAAATCCAGTACAAAAGAAATTGATGACAGACTGAAGTATCTTTGCAGAGAGAGCAAAGGATGCAAAGCAAAAAAGCAGACATTGCATTGCAACATTGCAAAGATCGGAAAAGGGAAGGGCTTTTAAGACAAAACACAGAACTGCAGCTTGCAAACAAATTGTGCTTTGATGGGTTATATTTTTACAGGAATGGGAACTCATAAGAAGCTTAAACAAAATTTTCCCAAAAAAGTTGCTTAAGCTTATTCTTGGTATTCCAATGTACTGCAAAGGCAAAATCAAGCCAAAATCAGAGTTGCCCCTTGCTGAAAATATACAGTGTGAGCCAGAAAAATGCAAACCATCCAGCTCCTTGGAATATTTTCTTCAACAACATGCCCCGGCTACATAGCTGAGATGCGATGAGTCACTCTGCTACATAGCTGTTTATCGAGCGCTGCTGCCTCTGGATCGCAGCAGCCGGTGATGAAACAAGGGAGCAGCATCTCTGTCGGGCGAGAAGACCAAGCAGCCGTTTTTCCTCCCAGCCCGCAGAAGATGGCAAGCCCCCTGCTCTGACCCAGAAGGGCACTGCTTCCATTTCAAACCATGGTCTTCCTGAATGGGCACCCCAGAAACCCTTTAATTTTAAAAGGAATGTGAATGTAATGCTTCACCGCTCACAAACGCAGATCTTTCACAATACCGCTATCTATTTTTGAAAGGGTAGGAAAAATGGCACTAGGGGGGAAACCTCACACAGGCACTACCCGTTGCACCCGCGAAGCACACCCATCGGCCGCATTTGCGGTGGCAGCGCTCTGGCGCTCTGACCCAAATGCACCTGCCCTGCCAGGGGGAAGGATGCCCGTTGCCGCACGGCACCGTAGCTTTATGGGCAGGGTTTCCACGGCAGGCTCCCATCTCCTATTTCAGGGGCTGGCAGCACCGCAGGCATGGCCGGCAGAATTTATAGCATCGCCTCCGACAGGTACTTCAAGGGACCCGAGGCGTCCGGGAGGGAGACGAGGGGCCGGGGGGCCGGGGGGGGGGGGAACGCGCCCGCCCTCACCTTGTCCCAGGTGAGCCACTGCGCGACCGCCTCGTCCAGCTGCGAGTCCCCCGTGCCGGAGGCGATGAGCAGGTTGGAGTTCACGTCGCCCACGTCCCGGGGGTCCCCCATCTTCCTCGCGGCCGGGCGACGGCTGCAGATGCTGCAGAGGGCGAGAGTGCGCGGGCTGGGCTGCGGCTCGGCTCACACGTGCGTGCAAGGACGCCCCTCCCGGCCGGCCGGCGGGCGCATACCACGGCCGCGGGGGGGGGGCGGCTCCCTAAGGGGGGGCGCTGGGAGGGGCTGCCTCGCAGGGGGCGAGCCCGGCACGGCGGGCGCCCTCCCGAAAGCAGCTCCCAGCCGAGGGGGGGAGAAGGCGCCAACGCCCCCCGCGCGGGGAAGTCGGCGGGCAGGGGGCGCACGGGGCGCGGGTCCTTCGCAAGCCTCCCCACGTGCGGAGCCCGCCCCCCACCGGACCGGCACGGCGGGCCCCCCAGCCCCCGCGCGCGCGGACGCCCCCTCACTCTCTCGCAGGAGCGGCGCGCCCCCGACCGCCCGGCGCGCTCCCGAGCCGGACTGGGAGGCGCTGAGCCGGCCGGAGAGAAACAATCAACAACCGCGGGGCGGGGCGGGGCGGGCGGGGAGGGAGGGAAGGCCCCGCCCCCCGGCAGGCCCCGCCCACCTCGGCTCTCGGCCGCCGCCCGCGCCCGTCGCCGGCCTGGGGCGAAGGACGGCGCGGCCCCGCCCCTCACGCGCTTAGGGCGTGGATTCCCCGCCCCTCGGGCTGCGCTGCGCGCGCAGCGTGTCTTAACCCGCCGCCGCCCAGGAGCGTCGCGAGGGCTTTCGGGAAATGTAGTCCGTGCTGCTGACTCATTCCTTCTCTCTCTGAGCAGGCGTACGATTATCATTCTCATTATCATGTCTGCGTCGCGTTGCATTTGTACCCTGTGAGGAACCCAAGGAGGCTAACACAGCTCCGTTGTACCCTCGCACACACAACAACAACCCTGTGAGGTAGGCTGAGAGGCAGCGACTGGCCCGCAGGGAGCTTCGCAGCCGAGCAGGGACTAGAGCCCGGCTCTCCCTGGCCCCGGCCCAGGTTCTCACCCCCACGGCTGCTCACGCTCCTCTGGTGGCCTGCCCGGTAAAGAGGCCCGGGACTGCACGGAGGTGCTTGCACGCCCAGGCCAGGCGCGCTTAGGACACAGGCCGTATCGACCGCCATGGGCACCTGTGCGGCCCTTTCCTTAATTGGACAAGCATCAGATATTATTCCCTTGCAAGAAGTCGCTTTTGTAGCGTTTCCATTTCACCGGCTGCAAACCAGCAAGCACCACGGGATGCGCGGAGCTTTCTCCTGCGCGGACTGGGAAGGCCTTGCACAGTGGCGTCACCTGCTCCTTGCAGCTTCCTCGTCGGCCGCTGCAGAGGGCCAAGCCCTGCCAAGGGGCCTGGGGAGACGCTTCTGGACGGGGCCCCCTCGGCATGTCCGGGGCCACCGCTCCCGGCGGCCTCGAGGTGGGGGAGGCATGAGCCGGCCCCCTCCTTTGCGGACAAGGAAGGTGAGCCGAGTTTTCGAAGTGAAGCCTAGATCGGCTTTCCTCAGCTGCCTGCACTCCAAGCGCCGAGGCTTTACCTTGGAGTAAAGTGCCTTTGCCTTGTGCCTTGGAGCAAGCCCCGCTGCACTGGCTGTGGCTGAGTGAGTGCGCCCAGGCAGCCCCAGCACCGCACGCACGCAAGTTTCCATAAGCGGGAGGGCCAGTGCGGCTTCCTGTGCCGGGCTGAGACTGGGGAAATCCAGCTGCCAGTCCCCACCTGGGCTGTGGCGCTCCCTGGGTGACCCCCGCGGGGCCAGCCACTGCCTCCCAGCCTGATCAATCTCGCGGGGTTCTTGTGAAGAGGAAATGGAGAGGAAGAGGGGAAGGAGGAGGTGAGCCGCTGTGGGCTCCATGCAGGAATAAAATAAAAGGCAGGATACAAGCCGAATTAATATGCATGTCAACTGGAGTCAAGAATCATGTTTCTGCACTCAGAAATGGTAACTTCTCCTCGTGCAAGGGCACGAAAGCAAAATTTGAAGTTGCACAAAGAGGGAAACTGAAGGAGGAGGACTGGGTTCCAGGAAATGTCTCTGTCCCTTGTAATCAGGGGCATTTGGTGTGGCTGCGCCCTTGATATCCAAAATGGATCCCGAAGCAGAGAGTCGCCACAGCGCCCGCTCAACCATTGCAGGAATTCGAGTGTTACAGCAACAAACCAGCCCACCTCTCAAGCTGCAGGCAGAGGAAGCAGCCACGAACCAAGGCTCCAGTGCACGGTTGCCATGGTGACTGCAGCCCCTGCAGGGAGATGGGACCATCTGGACCGCAAGGCTGCCAGCACAGGAGTGACTGGGGGGGCGCTGCAGCTCACCGGGCCCCCCGAAGCTTTTGATGCTGTTCTATAATTGCAAAAATACCTGATTTGCAATCTGGATTTACTTCATATCATTTCTGTCTATATTCCCTTTATTCTCCTGACAGGTATCGTATAGCCCTAAACAGATTTTGGAATTGTTGTTAGGCTGGTGATGTGGATTCTGTCTGAATTGTGTGCTTTTGGAGAGAACCGTTTCTCCAGGCGGCCCGTGAGGTAAATAGCATCAGCTGAATAAACACGTTCGGCCCTGGCACGTGCGCAGGGATAAACGTGTCCCTGTCTTTTGAGGAATGCTGAGATCCCAAATCCACCGGTTTGGGAGCAGGCCCCACTCAGTGCAGCGGGACTGCCTTCTAAGCAATGGCATGTTGCGTTCTCTAGAAACTGGCGTGCATTCAGCATATGTTTCCTCTGCTCCTCAAGGAGCACTCCTCAGAAGTAAACTACTCCCTAGGAACAGCTCAGATAAGATTATGCCCTTGCAGCAGGAGCCTGTATGTTCTTACAAGCAGGTTCCAGTGAGCACACTGCAGCGAGGGGATCGTGATCACACAGCGCCACTTCCGCGCTGCTTGCGCCTCTGTGTTTCCAGGGTGCTGGAAGTAACCCATGAAGGCCTACTTGGCTCGGGACCCCGATGCCAGACAGAACGCCTCTCCCAACCGTCATATTTCTGGACGCCACAAGCAGATCGGGGCCTTCCTCCAACTGCCACCTCCGAGGGAGGCTTTGCTGGGCACAACAAGGAGAAGGGCCTTGGCAGAGGTGGCTCCGCAGCACTGAGGCCCGCCTGGCACCGACTTTACTATCTCTGTGGTGCTCTGTAAAGAGTCACAGGGCATTCAAGTTGCTGGGGTCTGCTAGCTGTTAAGCAGGTCTTCCCTGCGTTATATACAGTATGTTGCTATATAAGACGACCCTTGAAACCAAAAATAGCAAAGCAAAACTTGGGAACAGCTTTTATGCCCAACCAGAAAGCACCAGAAAGCAGCCCAAAATACTGACGTCACTGTATATGTGAGTCACCTTATATGTTAGTGTGTGTGTGTGTGTGTGTGTGTACACAACAGGGTATCCACAGTCACCGTTACTGCAGTTTTACTTAACCATGGTTGATCATCAACCCTCATGCACAGGGTTTAGGGGCACAGGGCCCCCAAGAAAGTAGAAAACCCATAAATATCTCTTGGGAACAACCACAAATATCTCTAGGGAACTATGCCCTCTGCTTGGGGATGCCACACTCTTTGTCTCAGTACAGTGGTACCTCAACCCATGAACTTAATCCGTTCCACAACTCTGGTTGTGACACAAATTGGTTGTAACCCAAGTCAATTTTCCCTATAAGGTCCAATGTAAATAAGGTTAGTCCGTTCTGTAACTATTTTTTTTTAATCAGAAGAATTTGAACAAAGTGACAAAGGACAACCAAGTACTGTGCAGTACAGTGGAGAACCCTAACCTGGGTGGGGGGGAGGTTCTTGTTTTGAGGGAGAGTCCCCTCCAGAAGGACACTGGGGGCATCTCTTTCAGGGGCTTCCTCTCTTCTTTGCCTCTTAGCTGCAGGGTCAATTCTGGTGAAAAATCTGTGTATAGTCACTTGTTTTTCCTGCGCTGCGTAACCCTCCGGAAATGAGAGACCACGTTGTCGTTCATCAGATTCAAAACTCTGTTTGCTTCAGTTATGCTGGGGTGGTGCTTCTCAAAGAAATCCTGGCGCTCGTTCCATTTTTCCATAATGGATGGTATCACATCACCGCTCACCTCCTCCCCGCCTTCCTCTTCCTCGGTGGAACCCCCTCAGCAAGTGCTTCTGTCATCGGCTCCTCTGTGTCTTCCCTGCACGGATGCAACCGCCATCCTGGCCATCTCCCCGCTCGGGCGTGGGGGGGAGACGGCCGCGATCGCGCCGGTCGCGGGGGGAGACGGCCGCGATCGCGCCGGTTGTGCGGGGAGATGGCCGCGATCGCACCCGTCTTTCCTGCAGGAGCGCGCCCGTGATCGCGCACATTGATCGTGGCCATCTCCCTACTCGGGGCAGGGGGAGATGGCTGCGATCTTGGTTGCCACCCAACACGGAGTTCGCGGCCCAAGTCAAAATCTTCAGGAGATTTTTGTCCGCGACCCGATTTGGTTGTGAGCCGAGGCCTTCGTGAGCCGAGGCACCGCTGTGCTAGCCAGCTTCCCTTGTTTTGTCTCTCTGTGGGCAAGAAGACTCTAGAGACACGGTTTTCCCACTTTCGTGGGGATCCTGTGCCCCAGTCCCCGCTAATGCAGTGTTGACTGCTACCTGCAGTTTCCGGGGTGGGGTTTTAATTGTTAACAGTATTTGCTTATTTATCTGGCCAGGGCGACTTCTTTTACATTGTTATTTATTTTATATTGTTAATTTTATATTGTTATTTTTGTATTTTATTGTATTTTATGGTGTTGTAAGCCGCCCCAAGGCTTCGGCAAGGGGCGGCATAGAAATGTTTTAATTAATAAATAAATAAAATGTGCTTTAAATTTGCTCCTGCATTTTGTAATGTAAACTTTTAATGATGTTTTAATAGGATGTATCTTTTATTGTTATTTTTAATGTGCTGTTGTGAACCAGCCAGAGGGCTTCACTATTGGGTGATATAGAAATTAAATAATAAAGAAATAAAAAGGGCTACAAATTCCTGGCATACCCCAGCAGAGAACAGAGAGAATGCAGACATACAAGAGCACAGATCTGTTGAAAAGAAATCTCCCCTTTTATATCATTTTGGAAGAACAAATGCTTTAAATTCACTCAAATGTGAGGCACAATCTAATACTTTTGGAGGAAGAGATGGGAGTAGATGGTGAATCTATTCAGTATCTATGATTATTATATCTCACCTTTTCTCCTTCTAAAGAACTCAAGGTTGCTTACATCTTTCTCTTCCTCCTGCTTGCGATCTTCTCCTCCCAACAACAACCCTGTGAGGGAGTCTGAGCTGGGAGTCTGTGTCTGGCCCAGAGTCACCCAGGCGCTCCGTGGCTGAGCGGGGACTAGGACCCAGGTCGCCTGACTCCCACTCCTGCATGCTCAGCTGCAGTGGCTCCCTATATTTTTATTTTTATATTTAAATTCTTTATACGGCTATATTCAGGGCTTTTTTTGTCCTAGAATGCACC